ATCACTGACAAGTAGATAACGATCACTCCGAGTTCCATCGGGAAGTTCTCGCAATCAATCGGACCTCTCGTTGCATATACCATAGTAGGTCAACAATACTTGGGTACCGCATCAGTTCAATATTTTGCTTCACAGCGTTCATGATCGGGAGAAGACTGATGCCCGGTTTTCCTTTGAAATTGATCATCAATAAAACATTACCGATTTATTCAAAGTATTGCTGATTCGCCGTATCGTCTAGTATTTCCGAACACACATCAACCTCCTGATCTGTCGGGGCAATATCGTCATAATGGTGCTTCCAAAATTCGATGAAATCCACAACTTGATGTCCACTGAGTGTACCGTGNTCTAATCTACGCATGTGTTCTTTCCCATGCGGATCTTTGGCCAGTTGGCTCAACAAATTGAGCCCATCTGTGCGATCATTCTGACTGAATTGCAACCGATCCAGTAGCGAACACACGAAAGGCTCCTGATTGACACGCAAATCCTTCCTCACGAACAGTGCGATATCGCTCATCGGAACCGAGCTGTGCTTGAGACGATTTGCTAGCAGTTCATTATGCACACGAATATACGGTTTTTCTGTGTAGTTGATTGGTAAAATGAGTGACAATATATTGAATGCGTGAAGCGCCAGGTTCGTATCGATTCTGATGATAGATTGTAGGTGAGAGATGATGGCAGCATTGTGTGAGTGGGGTTGCAAGAGGATATGCGACAGGCACCGTTTCCGGTCGCATACAGCGTCGCAAGCAGCAACGTTCTATCAGTTCAGCAAACAGTCTGGCCAAGCTCAAAAGGGAGTAGTCGAAATGGACTTTTGGCACGACAGTGCCCACATGGAGTAGACCGACCGAATTTCATATCCGTGGGCCTTTATTCGGCAAGCTGATAACGGTTCGTGAAAATGTTTGGGACTTGATTTTCTCCGTGCCAGCGTATTCCGCGAGCGAAGCAATCTGAAATGAAAGAAATCGTCAAAGGGAGTTTCAGTGTGACGATTATCATGCACGTTATTGAAAATTACCAATATTCCATTGATGAATTAAACGTGTTCATAGCGATCTCATGGAAATTTGCATTTTATCAGTTCTGAATATGGCATGGGGTGGTCCGTTTAAGTGGGAATAGGAAGGACAAACTAGAGTCTCTGGGTAGAGTGAACGTGTGTATGGGTTAGCGGTGGGCCAATTCCCGCATGTTGTTCCTTTCCTGTCCACCCCGGTCCACTCCATTCCACTCCACTCACGCACACAGATACACGTAATTCAGGTATGCCATCTGTGTCTTTGTGCATGTTTAACCTAAAGCATGACCGTGTTGATTCAACTTGAATGAGCTTCGTGAACTGCATCGTGTCCATGCTTTCGTCTTATACAAGCAAGCACCCAGTGTTGGGGTAAACGTTGTTGTATGCATGTCATAGTTCTGTCCTACCTTGTTATCGAATCACACAAGAGAAGTCCTCAAACGAGGCGAATATCCATAACCATTAATTCGATTTAAATCAGAAGGAAGCGCCGTCGTGACATCCGTCTGTCTGCAAAGGGTCGAGTATGTGCTGCAGCGGTTCGGCGAGTACTGCTCTACGGCGCAGAGACTTAGCCACTACGGGAACAGGATAAAAATAAATTATCGGTGTTCGAGCACCGCTGTCTACGTCGCATTACACGAGTCTGGTGGTGTAACCGGAGTAGCAATCCTGAGGTTAGGCGTAAAATTGTAGGCAGTCGCGGTCGTTCACTGGAGCAAGTGATCGACCTCAATAGATCACGTTGGTTGGGGCATGTTTGACGCATGTCACTAAATAGGTTGCCACGGCGAGCAATGTTTGCTGAGGCAGGTAGCGGTTGGAAAAGGGTCAAAGGTGATCAAACGAAGACCTGACATGAGAGCAGGCAAATCCGAAGCATGAGACTAGGTCACATAGGCCCCCCTAAACTCCCTGGCTGGGGCCCTCGGGTTGATGGTCATCGGTGGTCATGATTAGAAAGAAAGAGCGAGCTGCTGATGGAATTTTCACTCCAAGGGAATAGGTTATTCCGAATCCGTAACTGTCATGACCGAGAGACCATGTACAGCACATTATAGAGTCAAATCGTACATGGGACTATTCAAAGTAATCGAAGAATCTCCTCAGAAATGCGAATTATTTTGCTCTAACACGTTACACTTGTACTTGTAGTGCTAGTTACATCGATCACACAGGAATGGGTATGTTCAGGAATGCAACTGAACAATATCTAGTCACTTTTCGAAAGAGGACAGTGAGAATTTCGAACCTTTCAATCCTCCAACAATCGGACAATGAAATGATTAGCAAGCTGAACCAGAAAAATGAAAACATTACCGAATCTTAACAACTGTGCGATCCATTGCAATTCGGATACTGAAACCGCTGCTACTCAAGCAATGAAATCCAATTCAACTACCTCAACGCTCTACCCACGGAAATTGTTTATCTCCCATTTCCCTACTATGTGGTTCTGTTCTTGCCTATCGATCTCATTCACTGACACTAATTGCAGTCTCAACACTGTTCGATTCATCTTCGCCGTTTGTATCGGAAGCCGTCTACAGATTATCACACTGTTGCTCTTCCGTATCCATTTATCAGAACATCAGCGCCGAACGTGTTGCACACGCACGCAGACACACAATCATTCAATACCACTAGGGAAAGTGGAAAAACCTGCAAATCAATCGATGAATCGATCCATCTATCACTGAATCCATGTGAGCGAAGTGACCAATATACCGAAAAGGAGCACTTAAGTGGCGTTCGTGACTAGATGTCATTCGCCGTAGTCGGCTCCTGAGTAGGACCATACAATTCAATCTCTTCGCACCTGAGTCCCGTGTAGGTATTTCATT